CACACACACACACACACACACACACACTCCAGTCTTTCCTTTCTCATTACCTCCTTCACGTACATTTCAGCTCATGCTACTAGGCCACGTCCCCTCTAAACTCACACTTGTGACACCCCCCCCCCCCCCCCCCCCCCCCACTGCACCACAACCCCTACTGCACATTGTGCGGGCCCCCCCAGTACATCTGCCGGCCCAAACGATTCATGGCTGTGACCGACCACTGTGACCCCCACTCCCAACACGGGACACGGAGGGACACGCACTCACCATGCTGACCGTGCTGCACCAGGGGAACCAGGTCAAGCAAGGTCACCAGTGTCACATAGAGCCCCTGATAGTCCAGAGAGGGGTACTCTGAGAGCTGAGCGTCCCGACTCTGCTGGCCCCCGCGGTCAGACGGGGCGTCCCGCAGAACGCTGTAAAGGAGGGAGCGAGTAACTGTAGGGTTGATGGAACTGACTTGTGGTCTTAGAGATGGGGTGAGTGGGAATGGCACAGGAAAAAGACACATGGTCATGGGGACGGCCAAATTGGGAGCTTCCTGGTTCTCCTTCCTGCCTGTGCGGGACAGAATGCTGCTCCGGGGGAAAGGAAAAAAGAGACAACAAAAACACAAAGAAACAGCACATTACATTGAAATGGCACTACAGACAGCGTAAGTAGAAAAAAAGCCAGATAAAAGCCACATAGGATGCAGTGTCTCCTTTCTGTTCGTTTGGGAGGAGCTCGGGTTCGGGCGACCTCTGTGCCCTGCCCCCAGGGGGCGCCACGGAGCCGCCGACCCCAGCCCGAGGGGGACCGTAAACGGGAAGCGGCCGTCATATTTCAGTGACCACTGCATCTCATGCGTATCTGGTGACAAGGAAGAAAAATATAAAAAATTGCATGTTTTTAGTGGCATCCCCTCACATCCCAGGCAAGGAGGCCCCTCCCTGCAGCCTCCTCGCGCTGAGTGCCCCGCCCCCCCCTGCCCCCCGCCGCCTCGGCAAAGCCACGGCACTGGAGCGATCGAATCGGGCTGGGAGTTATGAGGATGGCACTTCAGAAACATGCTTTAGCAAAAAATAAACATGTATGTAAGGTAAAGGTCGGGCCTCTGGCCACAGCACATGTTTATTGTACCAAAAAATAATGTCTGTATGCAAACATCATGATACTGCATCAGTATCATCTGGAGAAGTAATGAAATCCAACAGCCATATGAACTCAAGAGCTAGAGTACATGTGACTTTTCTACAGCTGGGAGGGATCTGGAGGCAAACACATAAGGGGTTGTTTTAAACGGATGACCGGTAGGATCGTGTTTGTGAGCCAATGGGAATGACGTGTGCGGCGGCCCCTGGGGGTGAGGGCTGCCATTGGTTGATTTGCTTGGTCATTCATTAAATTCTTTTTGGAAGACAGCAGCAACAAATTGAATTGGTCTGAAACAAATGGTGAGGGGACAGGGTGACTGGTGGTGGGGGGGGGAGGGGTTGGGTAGCTGGTGGGGAACGGTGTACTCTACAGTGCGCTACGCTGAATGCTACAGAGAGGGACACGTGACATATGTTTTGTTGGTTTCTCATGTGACAGTCTGTTAACAGTGGTGACTTGAGAGTGTTTGGGGAGAGCAGTCAGCAGTCAGCTTCAGGAGGACTGAGAATCAAGCTGACCGAGTTACGGTCTTTAAAAACAAGGCCAGCGATGGCCGATCACACTGGGATCCTCCCAGTACATATTTGCCCTTATAACACATTACAAATAAAACATTTACTTCTTAATCTACAATTATTATACATACAAATACGTCCATTTAGCATTGAACTATTATGCTACTCAATGCATAACAATCATTTCAAAACACAAACACACACACACTCACATTTACAGACAATATTTATCCTCCTAAATCTATGAAATCACAAACTAAGCTTTTAATGTGCGACACCTCGTAACACCTGCAGCGATCCCTCCACTACAGAGGTGAGCCACTGTAATGAGATAAAAACACCAGCACCCAGCCAGACAGTCAAAAACGGCATCAAGATCTCCTCATATGGGGCATCTTATACCAATATGCCATGTTATTGTGATTTTTACACACCCCTGTCTGGCTGAATTAGATCTTAAACACATAAGAAGTGGAATCTATGTTTTATTCTTTTCTTTTTTATTTCCTTTAATTTTGGCATTACAAAATATATGGGGATTCATTTACTTTTTAAGAAGTAGTTGAAATATAGTCACGTGGTTCTTACATGAACACAATTTCACAAAACAAGCTTAGATTCTAACTGCTTGCTTAATATGCTGTGTGGCGTCACCGTTGGGACTCGGGCAGAGCGCCCCCCTGTGGTACACGTGGCAGCCAAGGCCGGGTGGCTCACTGAAGCATGGAGGGACACAGCAGGTGGACGGGTGTCGTCTGACCACCTGAACGCCACTGACCGCGTCCCAGGTATGTTGTGCTTATCAAGCACCATGGATGCCCTTGGCCTCTGTCTGCGATGGCCCTTCGCCAGACCCCAGACCCATTGGCCAGACCTTTGTCCTCTTTAGCTCTTGTTTTTGCAGACTGAAGTCATTCAGGGTAGCTATTCTGCAGCAGGGTCTAACGGAGCCTTTCCTGTTTAATACGAATCCATGGTTCTTTAACCACAATGCCACCTGCTGCCCTGACACGTCATAGCACTATTATTAGCAACAGCTGTAGCGTTTCATTACTTAACTAATATTTTATTTAGGGAAACTTCAAAATTCTTATCCATTTGTAAGGCTGGATTCTCCTGCAGGGATTCGTGTTAAGGAGCCGGTACTTTGGTCCAACTGCAGTGACCCTGACAGGATGTTTGGTGGTAATTGGGTACAGCTGTCTGTTAAGAGGTTCTTCAGTTCTGAGGAAGTCAATGAGTCTTCTGAGGCAGCAGTTTAGGAACCTCAAAAGAAAGTACCGGAACAATAGTCCCTGCTTTTGATTCCGCTTTCTTCTCTTGGCATCAAGTGAACTGCTGCTTCTGCTGGATTTTTCTAAAAATGTCCGTCCTATCACAAGACAGCGCTAAACCTCAAGCCCACTGAGACTATCATCTGAAAGGAACACGACGCACACCATCCTGAACAGCCTGAAGAGTAATAGCTGTCAACTCCCATGAGCAGCGGAACACCCTCGGGGTTCATTGGCTATGCGGTCACTGAGTTCAGCTCTACCCCTCTGCTCTTCAACCATCATTGCTTCACCTTGGGTGGGCGGTAGGCCGTTCTGCCCACAGGCCCTCAACGAGTCAGTGGAGACCCCAGTCCTGTCCCCCCACCCTGCACCCTGAACCAAACATACAGAGAAATGTCACTGTGGCTTGATTCTCCAGCTGAACCAGTTCATCTGCTCTCAGAGCTCTTGAAGGGCGACTGGAACCAGATTAAGACTCGATTTCAATGTTCTTTACACATCTACCAACGTATTAGCATAAACACAGACAGGGTCTCAGGCTCCAGCTTTGAGGGATATGGGACACTTGGGTAAGAGGCGTTCAGATGAAATGCTGCCATACAGTAATTCTAAGTAAAAGTTTCTTAATTAGAAGTGAAAGCCATCCTTTAATTATAGCTTTCTTGTAAATACGGTAAAACATGGTATAACAGTGGCCCTACACTGCTTTGGTCTTGGACCAATCATGGCAGAGATATCTGAATTTCTCAGTGTAACATCTGCTTAAGGCTGATGTTAAACACTGATAACCTTTCCTGACAAACAGAGGTATTAAATGTCCTTAAAGTAAAATGGTACTGGCTTCATTACAGCCAGTATTGACTTTAATGAATCAGAAACTTAATTCTCTAGCCCCAATATGTTTGTGTTAATTGTTCAGCACACGCCTGTGCGATATGTTGATATTTTGATACCTAAGAAAAGCATTAATTCTTGTGGGCTATCTGTGCGGCTTAGCGATTTTACCACTAAATTTGCTGGTAGCTTTAAATGAAGATGGTTTCTCTTAACAGCCTTCAAACACGCGTACCACAGACTAAATTATCCTTCCCGAGTCGTTAAGCAGATTAAATAGCATCACAGTTGCTTACTTCACCTGTGGGTTCCACCGTGGAGCACTTACCTGAGCAGCGTTTGGGAAAAGTATTTCAGTGTGTTTGCAATGTCTGTCCCAGATGGCACAGGGTAAATACTGTGCAGAACACGGTTGTGATACTCTTGCAAGTACCGTATCTTAGAGGCAACTAAACAAATGAAGAGCAGAGTAACAGACATGTCAACGGGGGGACAATATTTCTGGCCAAGGAAAGGTGAAAGGGCAACTAACGCCTGGGGTAGAGTCACAAAGCTAACCAGAGGTGACATCACCACTTAATAGGCCTCTACTGCTTGTTCTCAGCCATGATGAAATTATCTAATTATCTACAGTAAGGCTTTGTGAAGTCATCCCCCTGGTTTTACAGCTGGTCAACAGTGGAGCCCCCATGTTGGGGGGGGCTGGGCCATTTCTTTGTAAAGTACACAGACACTGCACTGTGGACACTCTCTATGTCCTGATGTGGCAGTGAAGACAAGCCTTACCTTTCCTCCTTACCCTCCAGTGTCCTTCAAGATGTTCTCCTCAGCCCAGCTCAATGGAAACGCGACTACACCCTTCCCCGTTGGCTTGGGATTTGTGCCATTAATGTAAACAAGCTCTTTTAGCCAAAGTGGCTCTATCGCGGCAGAACGCAGTCCACCGAACACCACTGCACCGGGGGGGGGGGGGTAAGTTCCGCCCCCCTGCGCCAGCTGTTCCCAGCTGACCAGCGTGAGCCTGTGAGGTCAAGCTGACCTTTTTAAAAAAGCCGTGGCCCTAATTATACTCATGGCCCTTGTAATTATAAGCCCTCGTCCCCAGCCTTCCACCTGAGGTCAACCCCAGGGGGCTCAGCCATGGTGGTTCAGTGCTCTCCTTCGTCTTCCTTTAGTGTCTAGGCAGTGGGGTTGTGTCCAGCCCCCCCCCCCCCCCGACACAGAGTGCCATTTTGGTCTCCCTGGGGGCTTTTAGTAAGATCCCTGCAGGGTTTGGGTTTAGGATCATTTTAGACAGGAGGACATTAGGCAGCATGGGGAGAGACACCAAAAAGCCGTTCGCCTGGGACTCGGTTTGTACCTGGCTCTGTCCCGACAATCCAGCAGTGCCTGATTTCAAGCAACAGAGGTCCAACCAGAGGACTGAAACCTTCTCAGGCCCTAAACAGACTTATCCTAGCAATTAGCTTTCTGCTAACACAACTGTATCATTCTTTCATCTCATCCTATTGGGAGGCCTTGTCAGATTAAAACAGGCCTTTCCCAAGGCCCTGCCCGACATCTGCACCAACACGGCTCACTTCTGCTCACTATTGGACAATTTACTAAATAATTTAGAAGCGCTACACTGGGAGAGCCCTATGCCTCATCCCTGTTTGGTGTTTTCCCAAAAAGACAGCCGATCACCCACATTACAGCCCGTCTTTGCTTCTTCACAACATGCTAACCCTTTAACTTGACAATACTATATCTGAACACAACAGAACAAGGCTTGATGCTGAAACTTCACGGAGAATACGCATTTATTCAATACACACAACACATTCCACATGCTGTGTTTGATAATATCCCAGTTTAAATGTTATATTTTATGGTGTCTACATTTTATTAAATGGGTTCTATAGTTAAAACTAGGGCACTTGAATATAAAAACGGCCTTTGCTGTGGTTTTGATCACCGTAGCATCATAAAATCTGTAATCAATATTTAACTTCTCTACAGTGACATTATTTGTTAAGGTACACACATCTGATGTGTTAACATTTGCCCATTTTCGATCGGTTGATTTAATGATAAATAGACACACACACACAAACACAAACACAAGTATTCCGATCAGGCTATTGAGAGTCCAGTTTATCACCTGCCCATTTAATCATAAACAGGAACTCCCAGTGGCATAACGCATGCAAAAGGTGTAAGTTGCCGTGTAATTGACCTCTTCCCTCCATGTTATGCCACAAAGCTACTCCTGAAGTGTGAATTTTGTCTAATCGACCTTGAGATTTACATGCCCGCTTCTCTGAGCCGCACGGTTATTAATGCGCAAGATTAAAAATGCACAGGCATGCACCACTTGCACCATCCCTCGCTGTTTTTTACCTAAAAAAGCAAAAACGAAATATTTCGCATTTTTACATGCACGCACAACGTCGTGCACCCTCCGCATAGGATGGACGTGTTGCAACCTGCCTTAGCAACCGCGGTTTCATCACCAAGGACAGCTCCCGTGATTTGATTTCCAATCTTATAACGCGTCTTATAAAAACCGATCGGCCAACGGAGACAACTAAGAAATGCTTTTAGAAACGACGGCAACACAAACGCGTTACTTACATTGTTCTGCTTTCGTAGACATTTTGAGAAATCTTCGCAAATACAAAAATACAGACCACCGTCGCTCACCGCTGCGGTATCTTTTTTTTTTTACCCGAGTCCTGCAAAAAGTGGGAAACCCCCTCCCTCCGTCTATCCTCCTGGATTTGGTTATACCACTAAAGCACCGAATGAAGTGAAGTCACATTGATCTTTATAAAAGGCATCGAGGGACGTGCCTGTAGCATCTGACACCTTGGTCCTTTCAATTTCAATCCATGTCCTCCCACCTCCATTAAACGTGAAGCTGACACTGCGGCCAAGCGACTGGAGAAACCCGGGGAGATGAGCACACCTTCGCAACAAATGGACTAATCCGCTCTGACAAATTGACGGGAGCGAAAATTATTTTTGCTCCTAGCTCTATATTACGGTTATTTCGATTTGAGTCGTGCTACATGCAGAATTTAATGTTAAGCGATAAAATGTCTGGACATAGTGGGATATGTGCGTGTAATTGCTTTTTTAGTTCAGGCAAAAACAGCAACAGATGGTTCTATGTTATGTGAAACTTGATAAAGCCGTTCGAAAGGGGTTTTTCACATGCCCTCCACATACTTTTAAATTAATTGTTTGATATTTGTACATTTAGTACGTTTTAGATCATACACAATATATAGGTTATTTAACGGTATATAGCTCATTTATGAATTTCAGCATATGGCCATTTATATTTTTTCGGTATATTGGTTTCGTGTGTTTTACGGCGTGATTTGCTGTGATACATTTGTAACACCAGTGACCGTCGTTTTTAAAGTCTCTTCGCTGTTCTCTCTCGGATTCTATTATTCATAGGAAGTAGGGATTTCTGGCTCAGGTTAGCTTATCCTTAAGAGCAAAGATGCAGCAATCTTGTCAGACGCTCACGCATGAAATCTCACGGCAAATCTTTGCATTATAAACCTAAAATTAGTTACATCAAAAGCAATGGGGTAGTTTGCAAACCCTACAGACTATTTACAAGGTAATACAACTGTTACAATACATGTAAATGCGTGTGCAGACTTGTCTCGAATTGAAAATCCCACACCAGCCAGCTGACCAAAGGTGGCAATCCGGTCTACTAGACAACCGGAGTTCTTTGGATGTTTATTTTCATAATCTAGAACACAGAACATTTCCGAAAGGAAAAATTAGAAGGAATTCCAGTCGGGAACAAAAGGACTGGCGACTCTGCTGTTTCATGTTTTGTCTCGTCTGTTGCCAACACTCACATTTCCCATCACCAGCTACAAAGATCTTGCAACCGCAGAATGTTAAATATAAACCCCAGTCTGGACCTATTCTAGTCACTTTCCAGATTCTGAAGTCTGTCACACCCATAATCATTTTTGAAACACTTTAGGAATATTTAAATGATTTGTTATGTACATTAGTCATATTTGTTTAAAAGACTGCTTGCGAAACTTCCTCTAAAAGGGAGACTGGATTGGGACGTGAGTGTCATGCACTGACCACTTCTGATATGGGTGTCAGTTTAATAGTTTAGTCTACATTTTCTCCCACAGAGATCACATTTCCCAGGGTCGTTAATAATGCATCTTTAAGCGTGCGCCAAGTTCAAACAAACCTTAAGCGAACGTGTCGGTCGTCTGCGACCCGTCACTGTGTTTCTCATATTGTCATTAAATGAACACACTAAACAGTCAAACAGGCATGTAGGCTACCAGCTATAGCATTTATTGATTATTAAAGAATGACATTCGTTGGGGGGGGGGCTGTTTGCACGAGTGATAACATCAGTGGATGCCTTCAAGTGAGGATTTCGCAATCTTTTTTCAGCAAAAGATGCTCCAGTCAGAACTACCTGCTGGAGGTGGGGTCACTTAGAAACAACCAGGCTGGGTTTTATTTTGGAGGGAGGTGTGGCCTCTTGCGGTATTCTGGGATATGATACACGATCCAGCCGGCAGGCGCAAGGAGAGCGGCCCCAAACACAGAAAGCGCAAAACAGGTTTTCTGTGGAGAAAGGAGTAGAAGATTCAGTGCCTACGTTAATGTACTGTAAATTCAACAACGATACATTCCTTTATTTGGAAAAGTGTATAATTAAAGACATCACAACGAAACGTATAATCCACTCTGCTCAATACATCAAATAAACTGAGAAGTCAGAAGTAAAATTCACATATTCCAAACTCTGCTGTGTTTTATTTTAAATAGATACACACATAAAATATATTTTGGAGACTTTAGACCATTTTGAGATCCAACAAAGGCCAGGCCCACATGGATTCCCCACGGCTCTGATGCCCAGCTAACTATGGTCGATCTTTGTCTTTGATCTCTGCTTTCCCACACTACTGGAGACCGGGCTACCAGTCGCTGGCTGACTGTGGAGCCACTAGTTCTGGTCTGTTCCAAATCGTCTGAAGGGATCATTTAACGATTCTGGGTATGCATGTAACCTAACCCAAACAACCAGGATGAATTATAGAAATGTTCTGACTTTAGTGGTGGACTAAAGCATTGAAGGTAAACAAGGTCCAGCTGGACGGAACAAAAATGCCTCAAATCTTAAATACCATCAGAAAAGAAAAACAGCTTACTATCTAAAAGCTGCCACTGAGAGAATCTTTAGCTATCAAAGCAAATGGCCCCTGTGTTCTACAGAAGCCCATATAACATGTGTGGCTATTTATAAAGGCATTTAAACATGGAGGAACTACAGAGGAAGAGATTAACATAAACAACCAGAAACTAATCAAAGTGCGATTGAAAGTCACAGCAAGCCAGCATGACACTGAAGTGTGCTTGTTAGTGCGCTCATTTACATCCCTGCAACATCCCTGTAACATTCCTGTAACATCCCTGTAACATTCCTGTAACATCCCTGTAACATCCCTGTAACATGGTTTAGTTTGTTTGCACTATGTTTATTTGTTTGCACTATATGTGCCATCCTTGCACTTTGTCTGTTTTGCACTAAATGAATGTTTGTCTCTGCACTGCGTACCCAGATGCTGCATGCACAAGAATTCCCCCCTGGGATCAATAAAGGGTATCTAATGTAATGTAAATCTAATGATGCTGGCTACCACATAGTTAATAGATCACTGCCAAAGGTGTTTCCTGACCCTAGGGGTCGCCATGGAGCTAAAAGGTGAGTGGCTTCCAGTGTCCGGTACTGTGGAGCTCTGGATGTCTCTGGGTTTGCAGAGATGCCCGTAAGGGGAGAAAAATTGACCAGACGGTTTTTGTGGTAATGAGCTGTGTGAAATCATTACATTACTGGAGATTAAGTTGGAGTCAGTTTACTCTATATTGGTGTTCGTTTCCTGTGTCATTCACTCAAATAGAAGATCACGCAACATTACAACTACAAAGAAAGTATTTGTCTGGATCAGTTCAAGGAAAATACGTCTTAATAAAAGCTTTCAATATGGAATTTTACTGAAAATTCAAATTGGTTATTTACTGTTTCATCAAACTTACCAATGAGTATAAGGGATATTGGCTATAGTTGAGCTAAAGCCCCAACATACTGTAATTCTGTACCCGAAGAGGTTAAATTTACTATTATTTTTGCAACTAGCCATTGTATTATGACTCAGCAGAGCTAACTGTAGTGTTGAGTTGGGCATCAGTAGAGTTGCCTGTACATTTAGGAATCAGTAGAGTTCGCTGCAGAGCTAGCCATCAAAAATGTTAGATGCAGAATAAACCACATACAATCAGGCATAGAGTTAATTTTTAAGGCCATGTAGGTCACAGGCAAGTTGTTAATCATAGAGTAAAAGAAAGCGGAAAGGCCGTGACGAGCTCTCACTCTGAAACTTACCCCCGGTCCGATTGGCTCTTTTGGCGGCTTGCTGTGCAGACTGGACCTCTGGTTCCACAAGAGCACCCAGGCCCGTCCCTGAGACATGCGAGTCCGCATGACCCCCCTCAGAACTGGCAGCATCTCTCAAGCTGTGGGTTCGGTGCGTGCAGCCCGAGCGTTGGGGGGGGCGACTCGGCACGCCCTATAAGGGAGAATGGCGTGGTTCCCACTGACGCCGCCCAGCTGCTGGTCTGTGGGGAGGGGCTTCCAGGAGGCACACGACGCCTTCCCTGAGGGACACAAGAGATTCTCCAATCTGCCATCCTCAAAATAAACGAATTGCAGATCTACACGAAAAGCCTAAACGCCGAACAGGAAAACACTTTCTTCATTTGAGATCCTTGCTGCTTAATTATACTTTATCTTATTGTTGGGCTGTTTTTCAGATATTCTGATGCTGAGTATTTTTTCATGTGTTACTGAGATAGTCAGTGATCTTGTACCAGGAGTTCAGGGCGTATTTGCATAGATACATAAACACATGTATTTATGCTATATATTTTCAGGTGCTGACATGCTGTAGAGTAGGTCTGACATCTACACATGGCTTTTATTCTGAGATGATTGTTTTACTACCAAACCAGCACTGCAAAGTAAAGCAAGTGCTTCTCTGGCCTCATTCATGAGGAACTTTTTGGAATATTTTGTCAGCTGTGGAGTGATCAAATAATATTTATGCAACCTCCCCAGAGCAATTTATTCATAAGTACGCCTCCCCTTGAACCTGTTTCCGTTCTGGGCTGCCTTGTGGCGAGGGGCTTGAAAGCCCTATTATATTCTGAGTGATGAAGATTTTATCAGTGTGCTTTTGGAATCAGATTAAAGGAAGGTGGTCAACAACAACAACAACAACAACAAATGTTGCACAGACTCACACAGAAAAGGAGCCAGCTGTGTTCTGTCAATGTTCACAGGGGAGCAAGGGGTTGGGAGGGGGGGGGGTGGAGCACCGTGACAGATGTTGCACAGTCAAGCCACTGAGAGAGCAAATACACAGGCCCACTCCCCAGTCAGGGCCCACATCTGATGTGAATGGGAATATCCGGTGAGCCCCATGCCCAGCCAAGAAGGGCCTACTGGAATGACTGGTGCCTGGACCTTTGGTGTTCTGTAAGGACACATTGCCAGCTGTTCCTTATGCTAATTGACAGCAAAGGTGAAGCAGTGTTGCCAAGTGGCTGAGATACGCTTCACTTCCCAATGGCATCACCACCACCCCACCCCGTCAGGTACTTATCTTAACAGTGGCAGACATTTCCTCCCTGCCTGTCATTCTGGATGTTGTACAGCTGAGTGGACAGGCAGCATCTTAGGCCAGGACAAACTACTCTGATGGGGGTTGTGTCTCCCTGTGGGCTGAGGGTGATCAATCCCGGATGAGCAGAGCGATGCTTCCTGACAGCCGCATCTAGGTGCCAAAACACCCAACAAACAATCCACATCGTATCACCGGTTCTCCACCACAAGCTGTGCCGTCTGCGTGAGAATTTCCAGCAAGAAAAGAAACAGGATCTCGTGATTCTGGGTTCCTGATTTGCACGGTGTTTACTTTTGGGCTCTTATTGTCCGTTCAACTGTTAAAACACACAGTAGGCAGAGCTGCTCTCTTTGGTAAAAGATTAAGACGGACTTTATTGATCCCAGGGGGACATTGTGGCACCTACAGCAGCGAGAACGTAGTGCACAGACAAAGGTACACGCAGTGCCAAACAGACAAGGTGCAAAGACACAAAGTGCCAGCAAGTAAACATGGTGCAGACAGATTTTAAAAGTACACAGCACACAAATAAAATATCCTGCAGAACAGAATTTTGTGGCACTTACAGACATAAATAAATATTTCAAAATAAGAATGATAAATTAGAATGGTGACTGTGATGGGTTGGCACCAGAGGTGGGTAGTTCAGGTCCAGAGATCAAAAGTCCAGACCACAATTTTGTTTCAACCAACCAGTTCAGTACTAAGAGTCACAGTCAGAGAGTACTCAACTGGTTGGTTGAAGCAAAACCTTGGTCTGGATTGGTACTCTTTGGACCTGAACTACCCTTCTCTGGTTGGTGCTCCATCGTGAGTTATTCCCTACCTTGCGTCTGTAGCTTCCGGGATAGACACCGGACCCTGGCAACCCAGCACAGGATAAGCAGGTGCAGAAAATGGATGGATGGATGGAATTAGAACAATAAAATGGCAGTGACATATGTACAATCAGAACAGATAGCACCAGACCTTTATTGTAACAACATTGGATGCTACCTGACATGTCTTGGCTGGGGCTGGGGCCTGAATCTTTTTTTTTTTTTTGAGGGGGCAGGTATGAAACACCCATCTATTCTACCTGCATGCATAATGATGTGAAATATGAAGACACAGGCCTGGAGATACCTTCCTGTCCTTTGGAATTACCTGAGATAATAGCTTTTCCACATTCATCACTATTATCACGATACAGGGGTGATAATACTTGTAAGCTTTCTATAAAAATACTAAAAATGGTACAAAAAAAAAAGAAAAAAAGTAATGCCCTGAACAAAATGAAAGTAGTTTGTTTCAACAGAATGCGAAGCTTGTGAAATGTCGCCCTCTTTCGTCAGCTTGTAGCACTACAAACTCTGCTTCAGGCAATCAAATAATGAAAGACATGCTCGTCAAACATGGAATTCATTTATCTATTGTTTTCCAGCTGTGTCCCTGCAGAAAGAGAAAAATTTTGTCGGACATTCAATGAAAACAACCTCGAATAGAAACACATATAATCTATTTTGAAACTCAGTGCAATCTATCCAATTGCATTTTTCTGACGCTTAAAAAACCAATGAAACGTCAATCCCGAGATCAGTGGCTGACCAGCTCAGGAGCTGCAGCCTCGGGTGCTCAGGTATTTTGGCCGGTGTCTGTACCTTTAGGCAATTCCCCATCAGCTTGTACTGTGATAAATTCCCTTAATTAGGCTACTCTCTACCGACCGCGCCCAAACCGGCCTGCCCCAAATGCCGGGGTGTAACGCTTAAATTTCTTCACAACATCAACGTGAAGGACACCTGGAGGCGAAGGCTGTACGGGACAAATTAGCACAGATGAAAATGTAAACGGAATGACACACCACCTGTATGGTAGCAGTAAGTCACACCCATTCTGTATCATGACGAAGGCGTATACTAGAAAAAAAATGTTTAGAGCATAATATGAATCATTTTGCATAAAGAGTACATCTAAAAACCTGTGACAGAAAATCATTGTACGATTCATATCAACAAATTACTTAATAAAATTTTTTAGTTAAAATTAGAGCACAGGCGTCATATGAATTTCCTATTTGCCGTCAATTTCGTCGTTGTAATGCGGTAACAGCTTCTCGCCGCTAGTGGGAGCCCGCGGGGTTTGGCCAAAACCTTCACTGTTCCCGAACTTCCGACCAGCCAGCAAACGAGACCAGGATAGGCTGCCGCAGCCAGCCAATCAAAACGTGCGCAGAGCTGAGGTTGCAGAAAAAAAAATAAATCCCAGGGAGAAGAACCCTGTCTTGAGTTTCCATTTTCAAGAGAAAAAAATATCGAAATCCTCTAAAAAGTCGTGGTAAAGTGGGGCCGAAGGCGGACGGGGGGTTCAAGGACGACCGCAGGTGAAACTGCGTGCGGGTTCTGACTGCGCTTTGGTGGTTTTTTCCACTGTTTTTACGAGCGGATGAAAACTTGTGCGGCGGCGCAGGGAGCCAGCAAGCAGGACGGAGCCCCAGTCCCCCCGGAGCCCAGGAGCGGGGCGGCGGGCATCGCGGAGCCATCCTTCTGAAATCAGGTACTCTTAACCCCTTTGCTGGCCACGTCGAGTCGCTGGTTAAGAGCCCAAGATCGCATGGCAGCCCTGGATTCCGGTACTGCTGTTTTATTGTTCATATTTTGTCAAAAAATATAAAAGTTGTATACCCGCACCCACCTCCTGTCGCATTACTCCACTGCTAATGCAGGTTTTCTTGTCAAGCGTTTTTAAACTTGGTTACCGTGAGGCTCTCGGTGGGGGTGTTTAACTGAAGTGACCGCTAAGTGCATTGTGCTTGGCCCGCCAGTACCGACAGCAGCCGGTAGGAGTTGGCTGTCGTCGCATGTAATAACTGTATAAATATGCTGTACATGTGCACGGCTTTAGCGGTTTGCGTTTTGGGATGGGCTGCAACTGCCCGCTTGTGCGTGTAAACCGCCGCGATCAAAGCTGCGTGGTCCGCCATCGAGTCAGCCACCATCTGGCCATCTCCGCTAGGAGAGCCATATGCACGGCGATCCGGAGGGGCTACCGCGGCGGACCGCTCTCCTGCCTTTGTCTCTCATTATTAGTCTCGTTAATATCGGTACGGTTGTTATTTATGTACAGGGATGCTTTGTGCATGTCATTAAGCAGCTTGCGAAGGTGACAATCTGGACTTGCCCCCTTTTTTAAAGCAAAGGGGTTTGCCAGCCTTGAACGGGGGTGTGTATAACGCGCTTTCTGCAGCACATAGGTGGTAAAGGGGGATTTTTGTAAAGGCTGCACGCACCCGAGACGCTATGATTAGTGTGTTTTACCAATAATGCGCGAGTGAGTTGCACGTCCTATCGGAGGGGGACGTGCGTGTAGCTCAAAGCAGGAGGTAGTAGCTAGGTGTAGTTAGGAGGTGCACATGGGTCCTTTGGTCTTCATCCTGCGTGACTGTGGCGTTCAGATGCTCCATCTCTGTTCGCGGGAGCGCTGGTACTATGTGGGTGTATGTAGGTAGTAAAGCACTGCTGATCTTAGTCATCACCCAAGTTCTGAATGGGGCCTGGTATATGATACAGAGATCAAGCACTGGTCCAGTATACCCTCAGCATCCTAATGGGGATGGGACACCTTGGGAAAGGTGCAGTTACTGAGCAGGTCCTGGTAACGTTTTGGGCAGCAGTAGATGTGTAATGAACTTAACTTTCTCTATACACCTTTTTTTTTGACAATGCTTGAATCCACCTACACGCCAAGGAAGGAGCCATCTGCTCCAAGTCTCAAAAATGCTAATGAAGTTTATTTCTAGATTGTTCTCTTTTGTCTGTTCCACATAATTTATTTAACAGCGTGGGAGCTGTTGCACAAACAGCATCTGTGTAATACTGAGGAATAGGCGGCGAATGTTGTAATGTCCGTTTAATTCGGCTTGCATCCGTGACACCCGGGCACTCATTAGACGCGGTAATTAATGGGACCGCGGTGGCGTCTTAGATGAGCCCCCCCCCCCCCCCCAGGTGGACTCTCCCACAGTCACACCAAGTCTTCCCATTTCTTTATTAATTGACGTTCTCCAGTGCCTCGTTAACTAGATCTCTGCGACGCGCTGGCTGCGAGCACACTTATTCACGGCGGCGTGGCCGTGTTGAGGAGGTGACACGGCAGGGACAGCCGTAAGGACGATCGTCGGAATGAGCCGTCGTCGCCTTCGGATCGTTGCTTCCCAGAGATTAGGCACATTTCCAGTAATGGTTTCTGATCTGTCCTTGGAGGGCGGGGGGGGCGCACAGAGCAGGAAATCTTGTCATTCAATCGCCTGCCGGTTGCACACGGCCCCGGATTTTCTGGCTTCCCCCTCCGTCGTCCCTGTCCTGGTTTTGAATTCCACACCGTGACTGGCGTGTATTCCGGCGCGTGTTTCGGCGGAGCCTGAGAAGGGCTGCGCACACGTGTCTGTGGGAGCGGGATGAGCTGGCTGAGCCCCCCTCCCCCCATCGGAAGGCAGGCAGTTCCACATCGCTCTGCCCACGCCGCTCCCACGTTCCTAGTCCTACATTCTCGCGGCAGAATGAAGCTCCTGGAGGAAGGCGTGCGGCTGCATTCTGAATCTGGGACTGCCGCCGCCCCCCCACCGGCCGGGCCGACTCGTGCCGATTGCGGGCTTTGATGCTCCATGGATTTGGTCGACTGCTGGCTGCCTGTGTCCCAGGGCTGATGGGAAGCAGATACGGCGCTTCCCCTGGGCTCTGCGGTGACGGCTTGGGGGGTCGCGCTCATGCTGCTGACCCTAGAGAAAAGCTTTGCCGCTAATCATGTCACGGATTGCCTGCATTCAGCTGGTACCATTACACAGGCCTTTACATTCAGGATTTCTTGCACACATCTATATCCAGTCCATATGGTGTCGTACTACAGTACACCTAGTTGAACTAATTATAGGCTCTGTCATTAGCTGATTAGTTTAATAGGATTGGTGGAGTTGAACAAGCAAAGAATTGGGGGCCATTGATATGAAGTTTACCAAGCAGACAGAGAGTTGGAAATCTGAAATAGCTTGTGGCTTTGGTAGGCTAGTGCTGTGTGTTGGGAACACTGGAACACCATTAATCAGAATGATCCCGAATGCTGACTGTACCTTGACCTTTTCTACGGTAATGTGACGTGGACCTGACTGGTTCCGTGTGTGAAGGTCCAGGCACATGGGTCGTGGCGGGGGGGGGTCCCTCCCATACTGCCCGCGAGGCACCAGATTGCAGCGCCATTGCTACATGTTCATTCTGCATAATTAACACGTGCCCCCATTTTTTTTTTTAAATACTCGGATAAAAATAAACACTGCGCTCACCCTAATATTAAAGATCCCCTCTCTACTTTTTTGGGACGTTTTTAAATTCACATAGCCTTTGGAGGATGTTAAAACCGTTTTAATTATTGCTCCATCCGTATAATTCAGTGAGGATGCTGGATTGGCTGGCCATTAATTATCCTTTTTTATGGCCTCGTGTCCTCCGAGAACTTACTTGGTTTTTAGGAGCAGTTGAAAAGAGCTGTAAACACTTAGCACTCTAAGCACAGGCACCTAAATAATGAATCATCCATCATTTATTGGCCCACGGCAAGAAGATGTATTAATTTAATGTGTGAGCTGCTGTATGTTCTGAGACTGAGTTCCAGTGAAGGGTTAACGAAAATTTGAAACTCAGTATTGAAATGCAGGCCCAAGGTCTTCCTGTCCTCTCCATAAAGTGACCCATCAATCGTGCTGGGGGGAGTAATAAAATTGCGCTATCTGAAATGATGCTGTCAGAAACGCTGGAGCGTAACCGTGATCCAGCTGATGAGGTCCTACCTGTGCTTCCTCAGTTGGCGCCTTTGTCTCCGCTCTGTTGCCAGATACGGGCAGCTCTCCTAAGCATCACTGACACATTCATTTGTTTCCCTCTCGCCGTTCTTTATGTTGCACGACGAACGGCGTTCAACGTGCCCCTGTAGTCGAGCAGCGGGGTCGGAACGTTGGCCCAGGTACCGTTCAAGTCGTCCGCTGCGAGTTTTATAGAACTGGGTCGTATATTCGTTCGCTTCTCTGTCAGAGTCGGTAATTGTTACGGCCTTGACCGAATTTGGAGTCCGAGTCGCTGGTGGTGTAGCACGGGTCTCGACGGAAGGTTGTCATCTCGTGAGTGTAGGAGAATCTCTTGGGGAGCGGGGGTGTCATCTTTGGTACTGTGCCGTCGTTTATTTTTAGTGCCTGGGGTATGGTTTTAAATTGGCTGGAGTACTGTGGCCAAAAGTGCTCCGGTTGAAAAGTGTTCAGGGGCGGGGCTATGAGTTTGCTTTTGGTCCTTGGCATTTGTCCCTAGCCGCTGAGGTTGCAGCACACATGCACCCACAGGCAGACGCGCAGAACTGGGGTGTAGACCCTCAGGTGGTTCTCGATGTCGGACAGCGAGGCACCAACGTGACCGGTCGCGTGAGTGTCATGTTCAAAAGCTGCCCATAATTGAACGTGTCCCTTTTTTCTGTCGCCTGTTTGTTCTGTCGGCCTGTGGCCCATTCTGTAATTGTTTTGGTGCTTCTGCAGCCAAATGAAGCCAGGTGCTAAATGCCTGGGTAGACAGGAAAGGGATCGACGGTATATTTGGTGGTGTTCCCCCTCCCCCATAGATAATAACACACATTCACCCCTGTTGCACTTCTGTAAAAATGTGAGGTCAAAGCCTTTTGGCAAGGTTTCATTCAGTGAGGAGGCAGGAGATTGGGGGGGGGGGTACCGAGTGCTGACAGCATGTTGGGGGCTGGAGGAAGTAGATGATATTCTGGGTGGAGCGGGGGGGCGCAGTGGGAGGGTCCACATGCTTCCTTGCGTCCGTGTGAAGGAGAATGGAGGAAACCCTGAGCCGCGCTCTGCATAGCGGTTTAGCTCATGTGACAGATGGTGGGTTAATCACACAAACAGTAAATGGTGACTAATTGCTAGAGGATCCTTCCATCGAGGAGACCAAGCTCCTCCTCAGAGTAAGTCGCATGTGGTTAGTCACACAAAACTCTGTTTACATGTTTAGATTTACATGTGCGCAGTGTTTATTCTGAGACGTTGAGATGGAGCATCTGGGCGTCGCTGTCATGTCAAATGTGTTCAAGCTATTACTTATCTGCAACGTATCGATGAGTTCTCCATATGTTGATAAAATTAATTTGCAAGGATATTAATTGTTCAGCAGCCTTTGGTGTTGGGTGAGGGTACATGAAGATCATTGCCCCCCACGCCTATCTCATAGGGATCAGCCTTCTGTTCACGGGGTCAGGATGCTGGGCGTCACGTCCTGGTTCGGGGCCGGATGTCCGCTGGGTCCGCTGGGCCTTGGCGCGGGTCACACTCTTGTCCTGGAGCTCCAAAGGCTTTTATGGTTTTGACCAGCACAGCCCGCAGAAGTTGGCTGCTGCTTCCCGTAGCATATTGCGAGAGGAGGGCCGTATACAGCCTGCAGCCACAGCTCGCTGACAGTCGATGTTGTATTTGCTGTATTTGATCTGTTCGCCCCCTTCCTTCGTCTGACCCAGTCCTG